GCTTTGGCCTCATAAAATGCTAAATCATAAAATGTACAATTTCCCTGTTTAGCAGCGCTCAGCTCAGGACACACATCCAGTACAGTTTGTCACTGATAGGGAATAGAGGAGATAAGAACTGTGGCAGCATTAGCAGTACAGTGATGCTTCCTTCCTTCCACCCATTTTTCCATTTCCACTGTGCTGGGAACAAGCTGTGGCTGGAAGTGCAGGAGTCATATTCTACATCTGTTGGCACGTCCCAAATTTCATAACACCTGCTGCTGGCAGTTCTCTGGATCTTCAAGAATGATGTATGAAAACACCCTGTACTACCTTAGAGCTCTGAGAAATTAGATCATCTCCTTGTGGGGAGAGAGGAACAACTCCATGCTTCCCTTCCCATCCATTTCTGGTTCAGAAGGCAGATCCCACACACCCTCCACAGTTTTGTGACTCAAACTGCTGGACCTTGCTCTGTTTTTTGGAAAACTTAGATACAGAGGAGACTCTGGAGGTGGAGACATGCACAGAACCATCATCCCCTGGAATAAAGCATGCAATGTAGTTCCTGCCTCTTGGCTCAAGTTTCCTAGATAAGGGAAATAAACTGGATGAAGTTTTGCTGATATCAAAGGGAGGATGCTTTGCCTTTACAGTCAATGCCCTTTGGTTTGAGGCTGAAATTAGCCATTGCTTTCTGCAGCATCAGGGCATGCCTCCAGAAGCTCATTTTCATTATCCTCAAAGTTTAACAAGCTGTGCTCTTCTCCAAAGAAGGACAGAAAGAAAGCCCCTGAGGCAGAAGAACAAATCCTTGATTTCTCTAGACAGTACAGGGTATTTTTCAACAATGCTTTTGCAGCTCCACTAAACAGGAGTTGGACCATGACAAGTTTTCATATGCAATCACTCATCCAAGAAAACAGTGCAGCCTTCAGTCTTTTTCAAATAAAAATTTCATAATATAATGGCAAAATTTCTTATGCCCATGCTCAGATCCCATGCTTGGATAGTTCAGTGTAGCTGAAGAAGGACAAATTTTTATGGCTGCAAACAGAGTAAGCTTCAGACTAATTAAAGAGTCAAAGTTACACTTTTAAACAGCATTTGAGTGTTGCACATTAAAGAGATCTTTAATAATTCTAAGAATTTTAAAGAGTTTTAAAAGGCATCAGCTACACTGGCTTTTAATGAGTCCTAGTTTTGAAAGCTTTCACTCAAAAAACTGAGCCTGGAAATTAAGACAGTTTGAAGATCTTGATTGCAGTTACCCAGTGAAAGAGTGAAAAAGCACCATTCCCTTCTTTCTGTACAATCAGAAGATTATATGAAATGAAAATGTGAAAATTAATAACAATAAATTTAAAAAAAAAAAAAGAAAAAGAAAAAGAAAAAGCCAAAACATGAAGAAAAGAAAAATTGCAGTTGTGCTTAGTATTATAACTCATTGAAAACAGCAGCAGGAAAGGAAGATGGAACATTTCTATGACTGACCACTGAACAAATTTGGTTTCCTGAATAAAAATTAAACTATTAAACTATTCTTCACTTGGCTTTTACTCTACTAGTAAGCAAATGCTGGGCTTCAGTTAGAAGCCCAGCATTTGCTTACTAGTAGAGTAAAAGCCCTCCACATCTGTAGAGAGGGAAAAAGAGATGCCTTGCTCACATGAGGAAGTGTTGTTTGTTTCTCGCCACGCTGAGCTTTATGCAAGTACATAACTAAATACACTGAATACTTATTCTGTATTTCCCACCAAAAAAATGAGAGAATGCTAATCACACAGAACAGCAAAACCCATAATGCTGAAGGTCTTTGAATTAGACCTAAGCAAATCAGAATACAGAGCTCACTCAAGTTTTCCCACCTTGTGGTCAAAGGTGATTTTCTCCTTCCCGAAGATGAGGAGGCAGACTTTTTAGGCCGCAGTAAGTATGTGGTGAGAGATCAAATGGTAAATGAGGTAAAACTCATCTGTAGAGCCACAGGAGAAATTTGAAGAGATTTCTGTTGTAACAGGGATGGAAGAGATTAAAGCCTTTAATGCTAGACTCAATGCATTCCACAGCAGCAGCTACCCTCCTACACCTGCCAGGACCCTTCCTTGGGAACACTGGAAACAGCACCACCTGGAAGGGTACACAGGTGAATTAAATAGCAAAGCCAGGTGGGTTTATCAGCCTCTGCAGTCTGCCTGCATTGCTGTGGGCTCACAGTTCAGCAGAGAGCCACACATAGTTTAGTCTCACAATTAACAGTCCTAATCACTCGCTGTTCCCAAGATAAGAAGCCCTGTTCACATCAAGCTCGACATCAGATCTGAGCTGCTGCAGCTGTACTACTTCAATTCCCAAGCTGGCTCATGCAGGACTGTCTCAAGGACATAACACTGGAGAAATGTCCACCAGCCTCTTAGCAAAACTTTATCTGCGGGTCCCAAAGGAAGGGAGAGGCACTGGAAAACAAAGGTCTCTTCTTCTCATATGCATTGACCTTTTCTCTAAGCTCATGCACAGGTTGGAATCTTTGGAGCTGAAAGCTTCTCTGCAGGAAGATGGCTTTGACTGGCCAATAGCAATGTCTGAACAAAATGGGAGCAGTCTAACTACCACATTGAAAAAAGAAACCATGTAACCTAAAAGTGAATATTCTGGAGAAAACAGATGAAGGGGTAGAAAGTTATTTTGAAATTTGTTGGTCATCTGCAGTTATGAACCGCTATTTCTCATCAGGTAGTAGCAGCCATTCAGAACAACTGTTGAGGGGCTCATAAACTAATTTTAAAAGACAATGTTATCTATAGTCATTGCAAAAAAATGGCTTTCCCAGAGAAAGTTTCACTTGCTGTTGAATACAGTAGGCCAACAAGTTATGCTGGGGTAATTGCAGCAATGTGGGTACATCACAATTTGCTTCACTCCTAATTATAGCAGGAATGTTACACTTTATAATAATGTTGCCAAGCATGCTGGGTTTAATCTATCATTTCAGACATGTAAATGTAGTAACGGACTGAGATCATCTGATAACAAGCATGTGCCATCTGAGGACATCAGCTACATTCAGCAACCCAGCAGGAGTGCCAAGTGCCAGGTAATTTTTGTTTTAACATTTGTAGGCTGGAAGGCCTTCGTCTTTCTAGGTTACTGCCAAATTACTCACTTTAACTTCTGTCTTTATGAACTCTACAACTCATCAGATATTCTCAGAGGTGTTTTTTCCTTCTCCCTTTGAGAATGACCTGTGCTGAATAGTCAGTATGAGCTAAAGCCATCAACCAAACTTCACCGAAGAGGAGAATGGAAAGAACAATCAGGAGGATGGGCCCATGTTGGTACCAGTGGAAGGCAAGTTTCAGCTCTCCTTTACATCATTTGGGAATCTGCTTCCCTGTTGGTTTACTTTAATGAGGATGTGAACTATCTGAACAGCAGTTCACCCTTCAATGAAATAGCTAAAAAATCCTTCTCGTCTTTTAAGCATTTAAATTTTTATGCTAGGGTCCCCACTACTGGCAACTTAAGACCTCCTGGTTTTAGGCTAAGGTGGACAGACATAGTCATAAGAGAATAAACAGAAAACAGAACAAAAGTGATTAATGAACAAATATTCACTGTGAAGAAGAGAGAAGTTTTGGGAAGAAAGAAAATAGGTCAAAGTCGTAAACAAGGAAATGACAAAACATTGAACCCTAAACACTCACAAATCTCATTTTAACAAGCATAAATGGGGATTCTCAGGGCACTAAGCCAGTTCATGAGATATATTTTCCATAAGCAATTCCGAAGAAGACAGTGGAAAAATGATAGATAATCTAAATTTCCATCAAAATTATGAGAACATCCTCACCAAGTACAAAACTATAACACTCCTTAATTAGGATTATTTTAAAATGTTAAAAAGACATTTTAACTAACTTAAGGGTCTTTTAAAGTGGACTTAAAAATCTTCATATTCAAGAGTTTCATCTTACCTGAATTATCACTCTGATCGTCATGCTCTGCAAGGTACTTATGACTACAAAAAAAAATATATAAGTACACTCCTCAGGTGGAGCTTGTTTGGGGGAATAAGAATATTTTGAAAACATTTATTGAAGTAGTTCTCTTGTCCACACTTTAAAAAAAATTGATAGTTGCACTTCCTAATTAAAATATATCTGTTTACAGAGCATACTTGTGTCTCAGTTCAGATCAAATTTCATGTTGGTCTTAGATATAATGTGCATTATATGCCCATATATACATAAAAACATGTATGTATATACATATGTGTATGCATATAGGTGCAGGGTGAAGAAAATACTCAGAGTTATACAAAAGTACTTAGTTCCTATCTTCTACAAAAAAGTAAAAATTGTCTTTCTTTCTGGAATTTCCTGTAGTAAATTTTAACTAAGGACAAATGGTTAATTTATAGCTTTGAATGGAAGGCCTAACTGAGATTTCCCACAGATTTTAGGTTAGTGCTCTGAATCTTTTTCCTTTCTATGTTGAACCCTTCTAGTTTGGTCTTCTTACCTTCCTAAAAACACTCTAACCCAATTCATTGTGATCTATAGTCTTGCAAAGAGTGCTGCTGAGGTAACGGCAGAAAGCACTGTCCCTTTAAAATCTACTTAATCAAAAATGACCCAATACAAAATACAATTTTCTTTTATTCCTTATTTAAGCTGTGACCACCTAAGCTCCACAGACCCCTCTTCCTTGCTAAGCTCTGTCCCAGCTCCTCTGGGCCTCAGGATGATGAATTACCTCTGGTGCTTCTCAGCATTCGCAGAGCTAACTGCCGTGTGCCACAGCCTGATCCAAACGGTGCTGAAGTCAATGCAAAGAATCTCATTGACTTCGGGCGCCTTCTGGATCAGGCTCCAAACACAGGCTAAATCGCAACGGCAGTGGTGCTAAACAGCCTATTGGCAATGCAAAGCATTTCACAAAAACATCTGCACACATCTAAATGCGTCGCCTTTTTTTTTTTTTTTTCTTCTTTCTTTTTTGGAAAGCTTCTCCACACAATGCGATCCCCAACACCAGCGTGCTACGCTGCCTGCTGTAAAACCATCGACTTCACATTGCCAAGACAGGACAGTTTAAAAAAAGAAACATAACCCTGTGAACAGCAGCAAAGAAAACATCAGCAGGAGGGGAAGGTAAAGGCTGAGAACGCCTGTGAATGGAAAAGCAAAAAGAGATTGGAGTTGAAGTCCCAGGAAAGAACGAGGAGCAGCCCTGTCCCACAGATATAAAGGGAAGGAGGAAGAGGAGGTGGTTAGTGGGAGATAATGGGGGGAGGGTCATCGCATGCCCCGTTTGGTTACTGAATGTTAGATCAAACACTGCAGCTTACCTTTGTAAACACAACCCCAAAATACCAACCTAAAGTGTCACTCGGTTGTGCTATGTGATCAATATCATCCCGATGGCAGGATTTTCCTCCACTTAGTGAAGCCGCTCCAAGCCCTGGAGTGGATTATTTTTAGTCTGGTGATGGGAAGATCAGCTGCTGCCTCCTATCGGGTTTCCAAAATGCACAAACTCTTCTTGCCTTTCTTACTCGCTGAAGGGGGCAGGAAACTGGGAAGAGATAGGCAAGCAAAAAGAACCAATTTTTCGCCTCCTGAAGCTACAGTCCCCTGGGATTTTTTTTCTGCTTGCTTTTATTTTAATTTTTCCCTCTCTGGAGCAGTAAGATTCCAAGAAGCTGCACTGCAGTACATTGCAGACTATTAGCAGATGGCTATTCTGAAGTAATTAATTTAGACAAGGTAGTCTAACTTTTGGCAAGCTTGCAGAGATTCAGCTTTTGATTTCTATGTAATTAATCTTGGATTATTTGAATTTGACAACATAATTTTGCATGTTTTTCACCATATTAAGCAGAAAAGTCTACTCAGATATTTTACTTTACTCACTTACCTAAGTCCCTCCAGCTCTTCTGCTTAAAATATAGACCAAACCTCACTTTTTGATCACACAGGTCTGCTTCTTGTGAAATGGCTTTTTAAATACTTGAAATAAAATTCCAGACTAATTCAATGCTCATACCAGGAATACAGTTTTGAACACAATAGCCCTTATTAACATGGGATAACATTTTTTAGTTGCAAAATCCATGATATATGTTTAGTTAGAGGTAAAGAAGTCCCAAGAGAGCCCACATGTGGTCAGTTGGTTTGTTTGCACATTTTCTCACAGGGCAATCAAACAAAGGTGAACCAAGATTTGGATTTTTCCATTGTGACAGTTTCACTTGAGCCTTACAACTTGAGGCCATAAATTGCAAAGATCTAGGACGTGTGGTGCAGCACCAGACATGTGGCAGGTGGTTTTGAGTACAGCTGTTGGAATCACAGAATAGACTGAGTTGGAAGGGAGACACAAGGATCACCCAGACCAATTCCTATTCCATCATTCAGTACTGAAGCTGGAGGCCCTTGGGACAGAATTCTGCCTAGACCTCGCAGAATCCAGGGATTGCATCTAGATCATTAGAGAGCAAATGGTTTCCAACGGATTGAAGTCAAAGGTGTTTCGATGCTTCCATGGATGGTATTACAGAGAATGCTGAGCTGAGAATGGACTTGGATGGCTGAGGCCAAACACTGCAGGATTTATCAAAACCTTGGTAAACCCAGGCTGCTCCTTTTTCTCTGATGTTTCAAACCTGACTGTTGTAGGGATAAGAAATCAGAAACCTCAGAGCTAATTAGTACATTTTCTTAGCTCCCATTGATTTGAAATACCAACACAGCTTTACACTTCAATAGACCTCAACAGTTCTCCAACACACTTTAAAATCTTTGAGTTTACTTTTTTTTCCCCCCTTTATTTCATCCCTTTTCATGTATGAAGTGCTTTAGAAAAAAGATTATGGATTGAAAGTCTGAGTTCTGCTATATATCTATGTTTATTAAAGATTTTTTTTTAAATAAAAAAGTTTTATCCCATCTAATCATCTGAAATAGCATTGTAATGTAATATTTTTGAAAATACATTTAATTTCTGACAGAAGTGAGTAATATTTATGGTCACAATTGTCTTCACCAAAATACGAATATTTAGTTCACTGTTATTCAGTTCTGTCTTTTCTACAAAATTGTTTAAACAGGAAGAAAAAAATAAGGCAGAATGAACATGGAATCAGCCAGCATGTTTCATTTTGCTGTTTCTAAATGGGATGCTATCATTTCTCTACATGACAAGCTAAAGTGTTTTGAAATGCATTTTTAAAGGATTAAGAAAAATTAAAAGCTCTGAAATGTCAGAACACTCAGCCCTGATCTGGCATTTTGTATCAGGGCTTTTCGATTTGTCAGGGGGAAGGAGGGGGGAAGGAGAGGGAAAAAATGGCAATTACAGGAATTCAAAATGTTTCAGGGAATGTTTGGACGTTTAAATGAATGGAAACAACCACAGGCGGAACCTCAGGTACCCCCACGTCCAGGACGTCACCGGTTTTCCCAGTCAGCCTCCACAAGACGAAATCTGGTACCGACATCTCTCCAAGCCGAGGGTGATTCAGCTGCAGAGGTGCCAGCAGTGCGGGACCGAACCGGGCACGGCACTGCCGCCCTGGCAGCGGATGCGGTGGCGGAAGGAGGCATTGCGGGGGGGGGGTGGGGGGAGGAATGTAGGGAGGATGCGGAGTGGGATGCAAGGAAGGCTGCGGGGAAGTATGCGGGAAGGGATACGGGGAAGAATGCAGGGAGGAATGTGAAGAAGGATGCGCCACCCTCTCGGGCTCCCGCGGCCGCTACCGGGGCACTCACTGGCGGCGGGAGTCCCTCCGCGGGCTGGTGGCCGCGGCCCCGGAGCGGGGGCAGTGCCTGACCATGGCGGATGGGCAGATTAAAGGCAGGAGCTGCTTCACCTGATGGCTTTAGGGAGGGAGAGGCAGAATGCAAAATATTCTAAGTGGATCTTAACAAAACCGCCGAATTTTGGCTTCTTCGTTCTGTTCTATGGCCTGGCCGGCTCTGATTTCCACACCCTGCTGGGCTTCCATCAGCTTGGCCAGCTGAAACCAAAAGAACCAAAATGGTGGAAGAATAACATGTGTGGGGAAAGGTTTTCATAAATTAGGACTCACCAATGTGAGGAAAATTACCCAACAGGCACTGCAGTGTGGATTTATTTGCCACAGGTCCTGGCTGAGCACTTTCCACCTGAATTGTCTTGGTTTAATATTTAACTCACTAACCAGGAAAGGAAGGTGGCTGCACTCTGGACTCTGCTCACATAACAAGCTGTTCTGGTTTCAGCTGCCAGCAGCTTTCTCTGCCATTTCCCATATTGTGGGCCAATTCATACGTGCCCTTCTACAGCATTTATGGCAGTCAAAGCACTGGGCCATAATGAGTTTCCACTTATTAGCCAGACTCAGGGAGATGCCTGCAGGCTCCTTGTCTTTTCCATTTCTTAGGTGAAGAGCTGAAATCGTCGTCATTTCATCCACTAAAGTGGCTGTTTTGGAGAAAACTTCTCATTGTGCTGAACTGGATAAATTCCTTGACTGATTTTAAACCAACGTAAATAATTTATACCAGGACTTTATGCTAATAAAAAAATCAGAGTCAATTATATAAGTTATGGACTATTTTGCTTCTAAAATTGTCACAGTGACAGAATCCCCACAGTGCTGTGTCAGAACTTGTGCCACCGTATAAAAAGATCAGACTGACACAGCTTTCAAGATTAGTTTTACTTACAGTTACAACCCTACTTAAAAAAAAAAGCTTGCAGTTTTCTTATTTCTTATTTTAATTACACATTGCTCATTTTAGCTAAAGAAAAATTAATGGATCTAACAAGACAATTGTAATGAAGTAGCAAAGAAATTTTTTTTAATGTCAGAAAATTCAGTCTGTTCTTTGCATAAATTCTCTGTCTGTTTAAAATATTTATTGTTATTAAGGGGAGAGGGGGGAGGCAGTAGAAGCTTAGTATTATTTGAAATATTTTCCACAGCTTTTCTTAAAAGTCATCATTCCTGATTTCTATGGAGAAAAATGTTGTGGAAAATATATACAGCAAAATTTCAACAGAGCAATCTAAGTAGTGAACAACTCTATATGGAGAAGGATGAGAAAATCTCAGACCTCAGAGTTCATCTCTATAAAAGGTGTAGAAAGCTACAGACCTTGAACATGGATTTACAAAGCTTCTGATCTTTGAGGGACAACGGCGCCATGGTGGAGGCAGACACACCAAATACAATACTACCATTTCGTGGGATCTCCTCTGGTCAAGGTGACCCCGAGGAGTGTTAAAAAGTCTCTTTTCCCCAACCCAGCTGTCGAAGAAGAAATCAGAAGTCTTCAGCTGTTGTTCTCATGGTTGCTTGTTATTTCTTATCTAAAACATTTTCTGTTTGGCCTGTCGGGGTCTGTTCTGCAGATCAGTCTGAGGCATACTCTGCCCACCCCCAGGCTGGTGTTGTCTTTTATACTATAAACTATGTATTTGCTATTTACAGTCATGTTCCAATACCTATGACCTGTGTTAGACAGTGACTTTCTACTCTAAATCAATCCCAAAGTGCCACCATCACCAAGAAGATGAAGGCTAGGAAGAAGAAGGGAGAAGAACAGGACAATGCCCAAATCCCTCCATCTTGTCTCCTAGACCCCCATAGTAAAATTCTTCAAAATTCCACCTTTCACCCTGTGACAACTACTGTTATGCTACTTAAACTTTTGTGACTTGTAATTCTTCATATAAAGTTGGTAATTTGCTCCATGGGTTGAGATAGAATTCCCAGGTGTCTTTTGGCTTCCTGCCAGGGTCTCCGAACCCCTGCCAGGGCTTTGAGCCATCCAGGGCATCCAGAGAGATGTCCTGGGTTCTGACAACTATTTGCCTTGGTAGCTCTTGATCTTGGCAAGACCCTGCACACAACACAATTTTTCAAATCTCCAGGTTTACTTGTTCTGTTTGACAAAGGCTGTTTTACTAAAACAAAACAAAACAAAAGAAACAAAAAAAACCAAAACCAAAACAACCCCACAACAAACCACCAACACAGGCAACCAAACACATGTGGTTTGCATTACACTATTTTTTTTCCTTAAAAACCCAAAGTCTGAGAGCTATTCCTTTCGTATTGAAGGGCTTTTCAAGGCTGTCAAAGATAATGCAAGATCTCCACATCCTCTGAGAGTAAAGGAGTTGCATCATAAATATCATAAAGCAAACCTTATGTACTACAATTTAGATTCTACCAAACCCATAGACCCACTTGTACTATAAATTACAATGATATTGCAGATTTTACATGTATGTCTGTGTGTGAGGAACTGGGGAAAAGGGGATTATTTTTGTTTTTAAATAATCACAGAATCATTAAGGTTGGAAAAGACCGCCAGGGTCATCAGGTCCAACCTGTGACCAATCCCTACCTTGTCACCCAGCCCAGAGCACTGAGTGCCAGCCACATCCAGCTGTTTCTTGGATACCTCCAAGGATGGGGACTCCCTCCTCTGGGCTATATTGGATTTGAGGCTGACAGTGGACAATCCAGACCATCCTTTTGCACTGCCCAGAAAATCTTCATTATTTCTAACCCAGTAAATCCACCAGTCAGATTTTAAACCCTCTGCAACCAAATCAGAACTAACGTGGGATCAGGTTCATTTTCTCCCATTAAACTCAACAAGGCATCTACATTGTTAAGTCCCATTTACAAATGCTGGCTTTTAGACATGCAGTAGTCAGAAATAATTTTGGGTGTTTAATTTCACAGTGAATGCCTGAAAGGGGCATTAGATACTAAACACAGAACTTGCCTCATGGAGCATTAAATGGCAGATGCTTGATTGCTTATGTGTCTGCCTGCTACTAGACTCTCTAGATAGCATTTTGAGAGAAAAATACATTTTCAGATGATTATTCTTTTCATTCTAAAGCAGATACAGAAGACAGTGGGAACTAATTCCACCCTGGATATGATTATTTCATCCCCTGGAGAATGACAGTGTCTATATGATTAAAGTTTTGAAAACTTTACCTGTATCTTCCTAGTTTTTTCTTATTTTGGGGTATGGAAATAAATTTTTAGTCTGATATATTTTTGCATTTATATTTTAAAAGGGCAATAACCATGACAAGTGTCTGGTAGAGGCCATCCCTACCATTCTTACTACACCTGGTAGAACGCACACAGAATGTCTCCCACATACCTTTCCATCTCTCATTGTAATTCCAGAAGTTTTCCTACTTAAGACCTGCCACATTCTACGCCGGGAAAAATGTATAGCATAAGGAAAAACAAATAATCAAAACTATTAGAAATCTCTTTGATAGGAAAAGATGACATTCATTTGCCTATACTGACCCTAAAATCTGACATCTGTTGCATGCAAAATACAGTTTGCTCTTTTTTCCTGTTATTTGTTCCATATAGAATACATTCTTTAAAATCCACTACCTTAAGAGGATGTATTTATCTTTAAGAAGATTCATATCTTTTTTTGCAGTCAAGATATGCCTTGCTTTCAGAGAAACATTCAACCATAAATGGTCCCACATCTGCCTTTTATCTAAATCCTCATCCTCTAGTCTCTGAAGCTGCACATTGTAAGCTGGAAACTTCTTAACAAATCTCTGTTCAGACTTCTGGGAACAGAAAAGAACTTCTGTTCAAATTCATTTCCATAAAAAGAACAAATCTCAAATACATTTCAAATCATTGTGATATCACACTTTATGTTGTATTTCAGTTAATGACTGGTCATCCAGGTAATTCAACTGCTGCAGATTAAGTTCAGGATTAAGTTGAGGATTTAGTACATTCTGCCATGTCCTTTGTATTATTTGCTACCCCTGTACTTAGCACAAAATACTATGTCCTGGATCTCAGATCTTTTCTCATTCTCTTCTACCTAATGTCATCCGTTACCCTTGCTGGAAATCAGGGAATGGTAATGTAAATCTAAAGTCCATTTCATAGTGCACAGAACTTTATCAAATCTCACTTTACATGGATTGAAATTGGGAATAGAAATTAATCAAAATATCAAGATTAAATTAAAATTACTCTACTCCTTTACAGTAGGACGTGTCAATGGCCCAGCAGTGGAAGACAGTGTCATAGCAGAAAACAAATTTGAAAAAAAATTAAAGTTTCCTAAATTATCCAGCTATCAGCATACTGCAGAAACTTTATGTCACAAGGAATATTGCAGCCACAGATTCACCCAAAACACTTTCTGAAGCTCCTGGGTAAGGTGTATCTGAGGTACTTGTGTAATACTTCATCACAGGCCTGTGACACCAGTCTAACAGCATGGTCAAAGGGTTCATATAAGTAAATTAAAAATGGGATAAATTCTTACAACACAATTGGTTCAGGTCCAAGACAGCCACAATACCATATGGTACAGAAATTCAACAGCCTTTGTGGTGAAAACAGCAGTTCCTGGGGAACAGCAATAGCAAAACACCTCCCTGAAGTGCACAATGATTCCAGGCAGACTCTTGGCAGACAGCATTAAGATTTATTAATGTGACTTCAGGGACATTTACATCAAATTTGCTGTAATAAAGCAAAAGGTCTGAAAAATGTAAAAGGGAATTAAACAAACTTTCATTATTGTTC